TCTATTACGTATTATCGAGATCTTCTCAGTGGTCTCTTGAATTAAATCCAGTCTGGTTAACTACCTATCGCCAATTTCCAGCCAACATAGTGGGGAACGACATTTACGCTCGTACAAGGCTTCATAGGGGGCACATTGAATGCTGGTATGGTAGCTATTATTATAGGAGAACTCAACTAATGACCAATGGTGATCCCAACTTCCTCCAAAGTTGATCACACAAGCCCGGAGCATATCTTCGAAAGTTTGAATGGTTCGTTCGCTCTGACTGTCTATTTGGGGATGATAAGAGGTACTTAAGTCTAAACGTGTCCCTAAGGATTTTTGAAGTGACTGCGAAAATTGAGATGTAAAACGGCTATCTCTATCTGTGATGATGGAAATAGGTACTATGTGGCGTACTACGATCTTGTCTATGTAAATTTGAGCAAGCTTTTCCATTCCATAATCTTATCGAATGGGAGGAAAGTGTGCGGATTTCGTCAGTCTGTCCACCACCACCCAAATAGAATCGTGTCCCTTCTCGGTCCTTGGCAACTTGGTAACAAAATCCATGGATATTTGCTCCCACTTCCATTGAGGTATTTCTGGTTGCTGAAGCAAACCGGAGGGCTTTTGATATTTGATTTTGACTTTAGGACATGTTAAACATTTGCCAATGTACAAGACGGTATATTTCTTCATTCCAGGCCACAAATAGTATTCTTTTAGATCCAAGTACATTTTGTCAGCTCCGGGGTGGATCGAGTATCGGGAATTATGGGCTTCCTTTAAAATTACTTCACGTAATTCGTCGATCCTTGGTACCAATACTCTATTTTCAAAATTCTTCACTCCATCCGAACGTGTTTAAAATCGTTGTTCTAGGTTGTGCAATGTTTCACGTTTCAAGTTCTCAGTTTTTAATGCTTCGCCTTGAGTGACAATGATCTTGGTCTTCAAACTGGTCTGAATAAGGGCTCCGAAAGTTCTTGCATTTCAGAGGGTGCCAAGCAGTAAGGTGCTTTAGCTACAGGTGTCGCTCCAGGAATTAGGTAAATTTTGAATTCGACTTGTCTTGCTGGGGGGAGTCCGGGCAACTCTTCTGGGAATACTTCAGGGTATTCCCGCACTATCGGAACGTCCTGAGTATGTTTTTCTTTCGGATTCTTCTCCACTTCATGAGCCAAGAACGCAAGGTACTTCTTCCTCAAATATTTGTGAATCTTCATATATGAGACTAGCTTCAAGTTCTTTCCTGGTTTCTCTCTGTACACTATAAGGGTTTCGTTGTTTTGGAGGGGTATTTTGACAACCTTCTCAAAGCATCCTATGTCTGCTCAATTCTTGAACATCCAGTCCATTCCAACCACTACGTCAAAGCTTCCCAGTTCAATTGGGATAAGGTCAATACTAAAAACTTTATCAGCAAGGTTCAAGGTACAATTAGGAACTATCTCCCTAGTGTAACATCCCAAAAATCATGACCAAAAATTTCATTTTCTATATAACGATTCATAAAACAATTTATAGAAAGCATCATCAAGTTATTTCATTTCATAAAAACCATAGATCATGTGTCTCAAAAGCATGTCATAATATAGTAACAATGTCAGAGTACAAATCCCAAGAAACTCATATGCGGAAAATCGTGTGTGTGATGCGCTGCTACCGTGTCGGCTCCTTTCCCTTCGAATAGGAGGTACCTGAAACCAAAACTGAAAACCGTAAGCACAAAGCTTAGTAAGTTCCCTCGTTATACCACATACCACATAAACACATAATACCTAGCATATCTGGGTGCTGGCCTCCCCTTCGGTATCTTTCAACCGGTAACTGCCTAGCATAACTGGGTGTTGGCCTCCCCTTCGATATCTTTCAACCAGTAACTGCCTAGCATAACTGAGTGTTGTCCTACCCTTCGGTATCTTTCAACCAGTAACTGGGGACTATTTTACCCCTACCACTACCACATAATAACATAACATACTAGCACATAAGCATAACGGATAGTGGCATACCAGACAATTATCACAAAGACAATCATCTCAAACATAATCACATACTGGTGGGCCAGCATTGATGCCTTAGACCCACCTCTATTGGAACGTAACTCATCTCAATGTCGTGAAGTAGTTGTACTGTCCTCGGCTCCTGGATCAACTCCTATCATACTCCTATATATAAAATTTCCTCAATTACTCTTTCATACTCATAACTTCTCTAAGGGTCAATTCTGGTCAACGGTCAAGGTCAAAGTCAACATCCTGGTTGACTCAACTCGCCGAGTTGGTCCCGGAACTCGTTGAGTTCCATAATCCATAAAACCCCAAAATATCGATCCTACTCATCGAGTCCTTTCATGAACTCGTCGAGTTCATCCTCATAGCATAGTCAGGACCTTTTACCCACAAATCGCCGAGTCCTTCCTTGAACTTGTCGAGTTCCTCAATCTTCATAACCCAAACCATGGCCAACTCGCTGAGTCATCTTCTAGACTCAACGAGTTTGCTCAAAAACAGAAAAGGTTGGGGGACCACAACCCAACTCTCCGTGTTGTATGAACAACTCGTCGAGTCCCCCATAGTCTAAATCCATACAGTCGTTTCTAGTCGGGCTTACTGCATCCAAATCGTAGATCTAGTTCCCTGGGGTCGATATATCACGTAAAGTTTCTAACTTTACGTCCATGCATGGGTTATTTAGCTCAAAAATCCCTAAAAAGTAGTTCATAAGTTGCATAGGACTCCCATGGCCATAAAGTTGGCACCTTTATGCCATGGAGTCCTCCAAAGGCTCCAGATCTGAAGTCATGACTCCAAAACATGCTTGCATCCATGAATGGTTTCGAAATATGCTCCTTAAAGCCCTAAACTACCCCATGAAGAGTTCTAGTAAATGAATAGTCAAGGTATAGACTTTATACCTCAATAAGGCTGCTTGGACAACGAAATCTCTGGATCTAAAGCTTCCTCCTTCAACCAAGCACTTCTAGCTTCCACTCCTTCAAGGAAATACCAAAGAATCACTCCCTTTTCACTCACACATGCTCAAAAGGCTCTAGATCACGAGTTAGGGTTTTGCTGGACTGAAAGAGGCGATGAGGGAGGCCACAATAAGGTGTTAAGGTCCTTAAATAAGGTGCAAACCCTGAAAATTAGGGTTTCACTCTGGCAGCTCTACTCGTCGAGTTAAGGCTTCTCAACTCGTCGAGTAGACTTCAAGTCCCGCGTCCAAAAATCGGATTCCTACTCAACGAGTTTGGGGCCTCCAACTCATCGAGTCCCTTTGAAAAATGAATAATTCTTAGTAAAATACATACCAGGAACCGGGCGTTACACCTAGCCTTAATTTCATGATCGTTAGCAACTTTGAAAACGTAGGCATGTTCCTATATTTTTTATTTCAATTCAATTAGGGGTCTAAATTCATGCGACACAAAACTTCTATCTGCCCCAGAGTCAAATAATACTGATGCATAGTGGTTGTTTAGGAGGAATGTACCTGTCACCAATTCCGAGTCCTGGCGGGCCTCTTCCGCCTTAATCACAAATGCTTGCCCACGAGCCTGACCTCCTGGATTTCCTCAGTTTATGTGTCCATCCTAGTTCCTGGTATTGTTGTTGTTGGGGCCCTTATTCAGATTCGGGCAGACATTCCTAAAGTGGTCCACACCTCCACACTCATAACATGCATGTTTACCATCCTTGCGATCTTTGTCTATCATGCAATATTTTGCGAAATGTCCTGCTCGATTGCACTTGTGACAGACGGGGCAGGCACCCTCATGATGATAGCTGCATCTCTCACACTTAGGTTTAGGCCCTCGGTATTGCACAGTTTCCTCTGTTTTAACCCCAAAGTTCCTTCCCCTTTTCTTGTTCTTGTCTAAGTTGTCATTCTTCTTCCTTCCCGACTGGCTCTCCGATTTTCTTTTGTTACTTTCGTTGCTCATGGTCAATATCCCGACTCTCACTTTATCTTTCGTAAGGCGGTGCGCCATGTCTATAACGCTATGGATTGTGGTAGGATTTGCCGAAGTAACCATGCCTCGGATTTCTGGTGCTAAACCCCATATGTATCGGTTAATCCTCTTGCTTGTAGGGGTGACCATGTGCGACACTAGTTCAGCCAACTCATGGAAACGCACATTGTATCCTTCTACATCGGCTCCTACCATGGCATGGTTCCAGAAGTAAGATTCCATTTTCTGGATCTCATCCTTACGACAATATTCCTTCTTGAGTAACTCTTTGAATTCTTCCCAAGTTAACTGGTTCGATGCCTCCCTTCCACGGTTTCGGACTTGCGCATTCCACCACGTTAAGGCTCTGTCTTGGAGAAGGCATGAAACATAGGGAACCTTGCAGTCATTTGAGCATTTGCTGATGTGGAGTACAATCTCTATTACAATCCCACCGCACTCTCTGTTCCATGAAACTCCTTGGGTTTTCAAGACATGAAGTACTTATAGGTGCATCCCCTTGTTTCCTCATTCCGAACCCCGCTTCCATCGGTGTTCTCAGTAGGTGTAGGGCCTCCGCGGTTTGTCTGAATAACATTGATTCCCGCAGTGACTTGAGCCACAATGTTAGGGATATCAGCCATTAGTTGTTGCGAGACCAGTTGAGCAATATCGGGAGTGGCATTCTCAGGCTGTGTTGGGCGTGAGCGGGTGTTTCTTCTTTGGGCCATGGATCTATAACACACAAACAAAATTATGGACGTTTTTTTAGAAAAAAAAAATTAATAATAAAAAATATATTTTCAAGAAAGATTTCAAATCATCAAAAAAATTACGATTCATGAACAACAATAATAGTGTGAAATAACATGGTGATTGAAAATCATTAAAATAGATTCCATTCGTAGTTCGGAAATAAAAGCCTTAACAAAGCGTATTGCTTGACACTGCAAGCTACAAAATACACTTCAATCATTGATCCAAAAGCCATAAACCAAAGGCAATACATCATAATTCATAAACCAAAATCATAAAACATAAACCATGACACTTAGAATCAACCCCAAAACACAATCACCAAGACAACTGCCACTGCCAGAATCAATGCTAGCCCTCCAGCGATAGTACTAGTAATCATAGCTCTGGTTGCCGTCCTCCGGGCGGAGTATGCATTACCACACACCGCATCCACCACCTCTGACATGTCAGCAATGCTGTGATGATGATAAGCAATCCTACTACGGGCGTCATGCAGATCTCGGGCCATGGCCTCCACGCTGCGTCGCTCCTGACAAGTCATCCCAGGTACGCGCATATAAGGCATCCCTATGACTGAGGGTCGAGGCTGACTGGGCTCGGGACGCTCGTTCCTTGGTGCGGGAGGTGTTGGCATGAGTACTGGCTCTCAAACCTCAACACTTCTCTCGGCATCGGCGCGCTCTTTCTCACTGTCCTCCTGTGGTATAGTCCATAAAGGGGTGGCTGCGGTGTCGGCTGTCATGAAGGCTCGAGTATCGACAGGGCTGAACTCTCCTCAGTCGGTGCCTGGCTGCACACTTCCTCTCCAGTCTCCGATCCCGAAGACGAATCTTGGGTTGGTTCGGTGCTCGAGTCGCGGTTGACTTTTGGGCGTGCAGTGACCTAACATGACTCATCTTTCGATCCAAGTGCTTGAGAGCTAGTGTTTGACATGGCTACGCTGTACACGAGCAACTCTAATGTTTAGACGAGTTTTTAGCATCCTAGTGAATTTCTATTTTGTTCGATGCTTACGTTTAACCTAGGGTGTTCATACCATTCAGTAGTGTATTACCGGAATTAGTTATACTAAATGGCATGTTTTATTAACTCAACGGTTATAGTTTAGGCCTCCCCAAGGGAAAGGGGAAGCCAATATTCTCTATAACCTTACTGATACCAAATCTATCACACCCCGTTAAAGCGAAAACACGAAGAGTGACAGGCTAAGGTCTCATCACAAAGGTAAATAGGAGTACCAACCATAAACATTAAGCATTTTTAGTTTACATCGCGTACAAAACAAATACATTCAGTTTTCACATTACACAATTTAATACATAACAAAAGTAATAACGTAAATCATGCTGGCTTCTTATTGATTCACTGACCGTTCCCTGAAAAGCATGCAAAAATGAGGGTCAATTATAAAATAGTTGGTGAGTTCACATGTTTATAATAGTACATTATTTCAAAAATGTAGTTTGTTCAATAAAAGTTCTAATTTAGAAAATGATGAATGACATTGCATTTCGTTCACAACCAAGCCTAACGACCGTTCTTGCCCCATTCCATCATGTCCATGGTTCCCATGATGTTAGTTCATGGAAATATGCACTCGCTGTTCCGGGCGAGTGGGGTCTGTCGACCCCAAATAGCGCTATCCATAAGACCATCGGCTCGAATACGAGTTAATAGGTTGTATTGGTTCTCCGGGGACTTAACATACAAGTTCATAACAGCAAATTCATAGTACAAGTTCATAATACAAGGTTCATACAACAAATTTCAAATCATATAGTTCATAACACAAGTTCATAAAATAATGTTCATAGGAATTGTAGCATGCTTTCCACCCCAAAACATTAAAAACGTAAAATACGGGTTGTGACTACTCACAATGGAAAGTTTGTGGCTCGGGCTTCGCGGTTTGATGTTGACGGGCGCGATTCCTACTAGTGTCCTACGTAACAAATAGTTTCTAGTGAGATATAATTCACTAAGCTATTTTCTAGGAACTACCTATCCAACTAGTGGTGTCGTAAAAGTGCCCAAAGTGTGTACAATTCATTATCGGTAACATTAATTCATTATGCATTGTGTTCCAATTTTCACAAAGGCATGAAAATAAATTCCAAAAATTGGTTTTATGGTTATAACAAAGGACATTAGTGTCCAGAAATTTTGTAACCATTTTTGAAGGTCATTTGATATTTTTTGTAAATTAAAGCCCAAATAATGGAGAAAATTCAAAAAAATTGGTAAACAGTTTCTAAAATTCTCAATTTAATTTTTACAGGCTCTCATAATGTTCCCAAGGTTGAGAAAAATATTGGTTAGGGTCTTTGAGTCCAATGACCTGAATTTGTAAATTAATGCTCCAATTTAATGAAAAATATGGATAAAATACCAAAAAGTGTCCAAATCGTCTGAAAATTTACATGGATTTCTTATTCCGTGAATAAATTAATACTACAATTTTTCAGATTTTTAGCTCTTCTGCAAATTATTATTTTGAATTTATAGCCATTAAATCATTATTTTTATAGAAAAATAAGGATTTGGTTCTAGCCCTTGGGGTTTTACAGATCATTACTTGTATATATGAACTTTCATAAAACAATTTGCTCAAAATATATTTAGAAGAAAAATAGGGGTATTCAACCCCAACAAGTTAAGCAATGTAGCACAATATAGTGCATGAGTTCTAGATGTAGCTGAAAGTTCACGAATTTGTGTAGAAAATTTTGTGGGGTTTTAATCCACAAAGTTTTAGAGATCATTTTTTGGATATGGTAAGTTTCTAAAATATTTTTCCCCAGATTTAAGGTGGGGTTTAAGACCCTTGATCATGTAAAGCAAAACTAATGATCATAGAAAAAGTGTTGTTTGCGCAACTGTTTTGTAAAAATTCTCAAAAAATCAGATTTTTAATGTTTTACAGTAAGACCAATTGGGTTCGAAAGTTAACCCAAGTAACTAGCCCTAAGAAAAATAATATCATGATTTGGTTTAGTAATGAGTGAGTTGTGGCCGTTCATGTTGGATTAGTGTCTAAGCCCGTAACTATATTTGGTAAATGTTTGACCCGGTTGTGCATGGTCCTTTTGGGTTGCCTTCACCAAAGCAACTTGACATGATGATTTATGAATAGAGAGGTTAATATGGTTTATTAATATATTATATGAATAATATATTAAAAGAGAAATCATATAGTTAAATTAATATTAGACAAGAATTAATTAAGAAATTAATTATGTGGCTAAAAGACATTGATTTAATATCAGGGACTTAAACTGTCAAATATGTGATAGTTGAGACTTGGGCTGAGGAGCCTCTTGGACTAGGCATGGACGTAATTAGGATGTGTCCATCCATAATTTTGGCCATAAGGGCCTTATTCCAGAAGCTTCCTTGGATTGCTTAAGGCCTAAGCTGTCCATTAGGGTTTAAGCTGAAACCCTAACAGCACCAGTATAAATAAGACCCTAAGGCTTCCAATTTGCGACCACTTGATACCCTAGAGAGATCATAGCCGAAATTGTGCCTCTCCCCTCTCTCAATTATCATCCTCTTTTTGTGTGGTGTTTGTAATCCATTAAAGGAGTGACATTTGTGACTCTAAGCTCCAAGACAAGAAGATTCAAGCTATTGTTCAAGAGATAATCATCTAGATCTGTTTTCTTATGTCAATTTCGAATCATGTATGCTAGATCTAGGGTTTTTAAGTTTTGGATGAATTGTATGTACAATAGAGAAGCCTAGATCTAAGCTTTAGGGTTTTGTATGTGCACATAGGAATGTTATTTTGTGTAAAACCCATCAGTGGTATTAGAGCCTTGATTGGCTTCTATTGTATTTGATGCTTTGTGTTTCATTCTTGCTTGAAAATCGAGTTTTTGGGTCTTCTGCCTGACAGACTCGGCGAGTCCCAATGTGGACTCGACGAGTCCTTAAGGGGACTCGGCGAGTCGGGTCGTCAGACAGAGGGATTTTCGGGATTTCTTGCTGTTTTGCTGAAGGATAATTACCAAAATCGTTTTTGACTAATAAAATCCGAATTTTATTGTTGTTATATGTTTATCCTTACCAAAACAAAAGATAATTACAAATTATTTGAATAATTAATTCCTTATATGATAATATTTGATTATTTAAATTATTTGATGAATTATCTTGTGAATAAAATTGATTAGGTCAAATTTAGATAATCATTAAATTAAATTTTTAATTTTAAATTATTTGCTATTTGATCCTATGTGTTTTGAAAAGTTCAAAATTTGCCCTCAAATTTTGAAATTTAAAATTTTTAATTAAAGGTTTAATTTGAATTATTTAAATTTCAAACCCTAGAATTTTATAAGGTTAAAATTCAACCTTATACTTTATTTATTATAAGATTAATATATATATATATATATATATATATATATATATATATATATATATATATATATATATATATATATATATAACACTTAAACTGCTAGTCTTACCGTTAGTAGGCCTCATTCACGAAGCCGATCTATAAGGGGGGTATAAGGTTATGGCCTATAAAATGGTCGTTTAATGGGTGTCCACTCTCACCCACCGCTTCCTTGATTGGTGGAGGGTCGTTAGCCGAACGGGTAGGATAGGGCAACCCTCTCCTCATTAAAAGTATAATGAATAAAAAAAAGTAACTAAATGTTTTTCAAAAATTCCCAATCTTAGTTACTTTAGGTAAAAAGTGAAATTGATGCAATTCCATGAAATTACACTTTGTACCCTTGCTAAGACGTTAGTGGAGCGTGTGTGGTTAACCGGCACACTAATTGGGTTCTAAGAAAAGGTGGCAAAGGGTGACTCAATGTTTGTCATAGTTCGATGGACCGTGTGTGGTTAACCGGCACATCGAATAGGTGACTGTAACAATGAGGGCACCATGTACGTTTGCATGGTTATTCACACCCGCTTTGTGATCCTCGGCATCCCAGTCACAAACTTGAGGGGCATATCGAGATTTAAACATGTCATTGAAAAGTTCAATGAATCTCAAAAGATCTAGGAGTTTTCAATACATTTAAAACTTAATCTCTTTTTCATGGTAGAGAATTAGTGAATCGTCATTCACTTACCTTCAAATTATTTGCACGTTAGATTACGGGATCCCTTTTCTAATTTGTAAATAATTGTAACAACGTAAATTTTCAAACAAAATTTTCACATAATCCTCATGACACATTTCACAAAAGCCCATTTAGTTAATTTACAAACCCCAACTCATATTTATTGATTTCTAATCCAGGATCCTCAAAAGCGTAAACTCTTTCTCTGGTGTATACAATCAAGCCGTGCCTTCCCACGACCCCTGATAAGAACCTGAAACACATAACATATAACACGGTAAGCACGAAGCTTAGTGAGTTCCCCAAAACACCCCACACAACTCGTTAGCCACTCGAGGCTATAACTCGATAAGACCCTCTGGTCAGTGTGTCTCAGTGGGACCCTCCAGTGCCATAACTCTGATGGACCCTCCGATCCTAACTCTGTGGACCCTCCGGTCCTAACTCTGTAAACTCTGATTAATACACAGCATAAGTCACAAAGAAATAATGTAGGATATCACAATACACAAATAAGCACATAAGACATCTCAGTCACACAGAAATA